GGGCACCTGGCACCAGAAGGCTCTGCTGCCAGTGCCAGGCTCTCCAGCCCGCTGGAGGCATAGTTGGCCAGGTCAGAGGCACTGCCCACAGCTGGCCTCTGTAGGCGCCCCAGGAGTTGAGAGGGGCCTCCTGAGCTGTGTTGTTGCTTCCAAAGCCAGGAACCACGGCTCCCTGCTCGAAGGTCCCATTCTGAGCAGCTCTGGGCTTGGGCCTAGGGAAAGCAGAGGCAGGACCCTGGTGACAGCATCTGCCCCCTGCCCTCCAGGTACCCCTGGCTGCCCTCCTTGGCACAGGAGAAGCTGAGCAGAGCCACAGGAGCTGGAAAAAGGGGCAGAGCTCTGGGAAAGACCCCCAGCAGTTAACTCATCCTCTCCCATTCTACATATGAGGCAAGTTAAGCCCAGAAAGGACATGACTAAAGTCACACAGGCCTCCAGCCCTTTGGCACCAACTGCCCTGGGGATTGGGGGCTGCGGGGGCATACCTGCCACAAGTGCCTATGGCCTCACCTGCTCCAGGCTTCCAGGGAGCCCCTCCAAGGACCCTCCCAGCCTGATATTCCCAAGCACTCCTGGGTGAAGAGACCTGGGCCATGGGGGAGCCAGGGAGCAAGTTCCCCTGAAAGTGGGACAGACCTGACCTCTCTGCTCTTTTCCCCTAGCCTGGCTTGGGGGGTGAGGAGAGAAGACCCAGGATCCCGACCCATATGGACACTGCTCCCCAAACCACAAGTTTATAGGGATAGGCTGTGTCCTTGGCAACTAAGAAAGCAAGTCTGAGATCAAAATTCCTTGTAGCAAGAGCACTTGATCCCAAATGCCTCAATTTACCCATCTATGAAATGGGGTGCAGCACCTTGTTCCCCAGGGGCTGAACACGTCAAGAGACATACAGGAGGGCAGAGTGATTAATGTGAGGGCCTGGAGCAGGCAGTGTGAGCTTGAATCCAGTAGCTCTGCTACTTCCTAGCTGCACTATCTCTTGCGCTCTTTCCCCTCAGTTTCAGCATTATGTAGAATGGGCGTGAAACAGCACCTGCTTCCTGGAAGTGCTGTGAAGATTGTATGAGACAATCCACACAGAGCACCCGGCATATGACAAGTACTCCATTAAATGCTAGCGATTATTAATGGTGTGCAATCCATGGCTCAGGCCCCACTGCAATGGGGAAACTGTGGCCAGAAGGTTAAGCCAGTGGCCCGGCAGCAGCCCTGTGGTGGCAGGAAGTGGGGGAAAAAGGACCAAAGATAGAAGGCCAAGCTAAAGGAGAGAGTGTGGAAAAGGGGGAATAGGCACTCCCCTATAGGCCTCCCCTAAGGACCCATAGCATTAGGAAACATTAGGGAGCTCATGTTTCCTGAGTGTGTAGGCCCCATGCTGAATGGTCTATACCCGTTACTTTATTTCTTACAACAGCCCCTGAGAGGCATTATTTCCCCTATTTTGCAGACAGGCAAACTGAGGTTCAGAGTTGGGGAGTGATTAGCCCAGGGACACACAGTGAAGCAGAGGGAAGACTAGAGAACTCCAACTGCCTGACTTTTAAGTCAGGGTTCCCAAGGCCTTCCCAGCCCTCCCAGAGCTTCTGCCCCCCAACCATTCTCCTCTTTGGAGTCTCTCCTACCTTGAGGCTGACATCGCTGGTGCTGCCCTGGCCATGGGCCAGGTCAGGGCAGCTCTGGCCACTCAAGGGCCTGGAAAGGAAGCACAGGGGAGGCAGTGAAGCGGCCTCCTCCTCTCCCACCCCCAGACTAGACCCAGCGGCCTCTACACCTTCTCTCAGGGCTCACCCGCAGTGAGCTCCAGGAACCTTGGGAGTAGTGGGGAGGTCTACGCAGCAGCCTCCACTCTGCTCCACTCCCAGAGAGACAGAGAAGACAGAGACAGGGATGAGCTTGGGACAAAAATGGAGACTAGGCCTGTATCAGGGCCAGACTACAGATAAAAGACAGCACCCCAATAATTCAAAAGCTGACCATTTGCTGAGGCTCTCATGGTGCCAAGGTTAGCACTAGGTATTGCTCCTACATGATTTCCTGTAAGCCTCACAATAATCCTAAAAGGTGGGTGTTAGTGCCTCCATTTTTCAGATAAGGAAACTGAGGTCCAGAGAGGTGAAGTGACTTGTCTGGAGTCACACAGCCAGTGAGTCTTGGAGTTAAGACGCTAGGACCATCCCACTCCAAGGGGATTGGACATCACCACATGAATGGGGCAAGAATGGGCCCTGGCTGCCTCTTCTGTGTACTCCACTCCCTACCCCAGGCAATCAGCAGGGTTCAGAGGCCTGTGCCTTGGTGCCCAAGTCCCATTCCCACGCAGGTGGGAACTGGGTCCAAATGCACACCAGGATGTATCGTCACACTGGCCTGGGAGCATGTGCAGTACCTCCCCTGCCCTTCCTACCCCTGACTCACCTGCACCCCAACCCTGCCTCCGCAAGTGAGGAAAGGGAAGGGCAGCACCACCTGGGCCTATAGGGCAGGTCCCTGCCAGACAGGGTAAAGGGAGAGGGCGTGTCTCCCAGGTGTTGGCGGGCAGGGCACTGGTAGGGTGTGGGTACCCCGGGGCACCCAGGCTTCCAGGCACAGGATAACTAAGCCCTCCCCTCCCCTCTCCTCAGTGTGAGAGAGCAGTACAAACCCCTCTCCTTACTCTGCCCTCACCCTTCCCAGGGCGGCTGAAGACGGTTGCCTCATGATAAGATCAGAACAAATTGCCCAGTAACTGCATAGGTACACAAACAGCAGTGCCTGAGAGCACACTCCACACTCCCTTCCTCTTTTCCAACATAAGGCCTGTGAGCTACTGGGGTCATCTTCACTACCCTCCTCCCCGCCATTCAGCTCAGCCATCCACAGAGCCTTTTTCCTGGTATGTAGACATCAGCTACCCGTGAACGGAGCTGGAAGAGATGAAGCAATTTGTTCAAGATCACATGGCCAGGGGCACCTAGGGTTAGGACACAGCTCTGGCCCCAACTTGCAGTTCTGAAATCTCTCCAGGCAACAGAGTGGCCTAGTGTTAAGATGTGGGCTCTGGAGTCAAACTGCTTAAGCTTGTATCCCAGCTCCACCACTTTCCAGCTGTGTGACTCTGAGAGGTGACATCACCTCTCCGAACCTCAATTTCTGTCCCTGAATCACACGAAATACCTGCCTCATAGAGCAGCTGTAAAGATTGAGATAATCCAGGTAAGGCACGAAGCAAGTGGCAAATCAAGGTTTATTATTACAGTCTGAGACGACAGGGGAAAACCTCTCCGTGGCAAGTGCAGTGCAGTCTAAGACAGGTCAGATGCCTCTCACACTCATGGCCAAGGGCCTGGGAGACCAGAGGTAAACTGCGATGGCAGACAAAGTTCACAGCGGCAAGAAGGGCTGCTACAATTGCCTTTAAACTGTCTCTGGAGAGGAAATCATTGTCTGCAGGCCGCTTCCCTGACTTAGGGAATTGGAAAAGTTGTTTTAAAGTTTTAAAAGAGCACAGTACTTTATAAAGACCGTTTTCACATTCACATATCCAAAATCCTGGAATATCGGCACGTACATTTTTATGCTTCGCGACAATCATACACGCTTATTTGAACATCCACTACACTCTAACACACACACACACACACACACACACACACACACACACACACACACACACACACACCAGGGCCCAGGGGTGCCCCAAGTGGTCCTCCTCCATCCCCCTCACCTATCCCGGGCTCTGGCCTCCTCCGGGGTCCGCTTCCCCCCGCGCTCCCTCCAGACCCTTAGCCGGGCCAGGCGGCGAGCCAGGCGGGTCCCCAGGCCCCCGTGCCGCTCGGTCATGGCAAAGGCAAAGCCCTGGGCTTGGGGCGTCGGGGCACCTGACCGCTCCGGGACGCGGGGGCCACCCGGATCCGCTCATTTGCGGAGAAACGCCTCCTCCGGCCCGCCCCCCTCAGCAAACAGCGGCACCGCCCGCAGTCCGTGCGGGCGGGGGACCGACCCAGATGTTGTTGGTGCCCGGGAGCTGAGGTTACGGTTCTGTAGGGGCCGCCCCCACCCCGGGCCGCTCCGCCCGAGCCCCCGCTCCCCGAGGTCCTTCGCGCAACTTCTTATGCCTCCGGAGGCGCCTTCGGCCCACAGGGTGCGGACAGCCCCCAAATTCGGCCGGCAAGAAGTGGGCAGGGAAAGAGGGGCGAGGAGGCGAAACTGAGCAAAGGACCTCCCCCCAAGGGCGGGGCTAGAACGAAGGGGCGGGGCAAAGGCTGGGGCGTGGTCTTGCTGAGTGGGCGAGGCCTAATCCGCGCGGGGCAGTAGGGGTGAGGGGGTGGGCTTGGAACCCGGACCTTCCTTGATGACTGGTGGGGCCAAAGCCGATCCTGCCATTGCTGTGCCGTGATGCGCTCCCAGTGAGAGTTCTACCTCCGTCCTTGAAACCCTTCTACACAGCGGGAGTCTCCTAGTACTGGGGTGGGAAAGCCGCTCTGAAACCCACAGGGGGGCGAATGGCGCTCCCTGCTGGAAGCTGGCTAGCTATTATTATTTCCTAATGGTTGTTTATTGTGATTATAACCAAGGCTTCCACCCTCCTTCCTCCCAGGCAGGGTCTTTTCCCACCTGACACGATACTGCCTCTCTAACTCTCGAGTGGGACTGGGAAACACCTCGCACATTTGAGGGGATCTTCTAGACTGCACGGAGAAAGCTATCAGGAGGGTCCCTGTTTCCAGACTTTATGCCAGTTCTTTCCTGCCTGTAGTCCTTGTAGGGTTTCTACATGTCTCTGAGCCCAGCACCCGCTTATTTGCCCTCTGTGATGACTGGTCCTGGCCCACGGGGACATCATGCTTCTGGGCCATGAGTGGACACTGACATCCTTGTGTTCCTGCCCCTTAATCCCCACAGGGGGCTCACATCCAGATTTGTACAGAAGAAGGGCACACCTCATCTGACACTGGCAGGGAGTACCAGCTCAGGGGGCAAGGTGGCCTCCTAGGAACTATGAGAGGAGGTGGTGGGAAGCAGCAGACAGGCACCCGGACAAGTATGGCAACATCTGTTCAGAAAAGAGGACAACATGTCCTGTGCTTGGCAGCACAGTCTGCACCTGGAAGAGTCCTGGAAAGGCTAGTCTGTCACTGGCAAGCTGAGATAGAAGGCCGGGTCCTAGATAGGTCCCTGACAGGGAGCAGAACCCAAACCCAGCTGGAGGTGGATGGCTGCAGGCACGCCCCCCGTGTGCAGGCAGCAGACTCTTCCTGGCTGTGTCCCCTGACCTGCTCCCAGGTGGGATGTGAAGTCTGGCACATACATGGTGGCTTGCTTCTCTCCTGTGGAGGCTCAGAAAGCCTCTACTTGTCAGAGAGAAAATCCTTTAATTGCTCTATTGCTCTTCCACTGCCCCCCACATTCCCCCACCTCTGGGCAGTCCTGGCACCACTGCTTAGGCTGGTTGCCCTTTCTTTCCCCAGGATGCTGAGGACACCTTGACCTTGTTCAAGTCCCAGCCCATCTGCCTCTCTGATGGTGCCTCCACGTGCCATCGGGAAAGGCAGGCAAGAGACGCCAGGGGCAGGTGGGTGTGAGCTTGGTGGCAGGGCCGTGGGGCATGCAGCTGATGGTGCAACTTCAGGTGAATGTTCTGGGTGAAGTGGCTCATGCAGACATTGCACTGGAAGGGCCAGGACCCTGAGTGCAGGCGCAGGTGGGTCTTGAGGTTGCTGGAGCTGCTGAAGCGCTTGTGGCACATCTGAAGAGAATGGGCACTGGCATCAGCTCTGCCCACCCGGCTGGCTCAGGATATCTGCTTCCCCTCCCCATCTTGGAAACCTCTGCAACCCCTCCCCATAAGGCAGGCCTATGAGCTTTCCCCCAATGATTTCTCCCTGGGACCAACAGTCTGGCACGTTAGAGCCAGGCAAACCTGGGTTAGGGTCCTGGTTCTTCTACTCCCTATATGATCTTGTATAGATGACTCCTCTTTTCTGAGCCTTGCTCTCCTTGTTGGTAACATGTGACCATGAATACCTAACCTCATAGGTATGTTGGACTGAATGAAATAATCACATAGAACATTTATATGTGGGGCTGCAGCTTTAGTAGGTATAATTAACGTTTGCTGGGAGCTGCCACATGTCAGGAATTTGTCCCACACAGTCTTCCCTATGACCCTGGAGAAGCATAACTAAAAGTACAACTCTTATCTGACAGTGAGAAAGCAGAGGCTCAGAGGAGTGAAGCCACTAGCCAAAGGTCACACAGCAAATTGGAGACAGAGCTAGGATTTGGACCCGGAGAGCCCAGACTCAGAACCGTTATTTTGCTTTCATTTCTGCCTCTGTAAAACAGGTGAAGAATCCCTGCCCTTCTGACCTCCAAAGGAATAAGGCAAGGCTCAAAGGAGGAGGGAGCTAACATGGAGCTGATGTTATATGCAGTGTTTGTATACAGGCAAACCTCGTTTTATTGCACTATGCTTTATTGTGCTTTGCAGCTACTGCATTTTATACAAACTAAAGGTTTGTGGCAACCCTACATGGACTAAGTCTGTTTGCACTATTTTTCCAATAGCATTTGCTCACTTTGTGTCTCTGTGTCATATTTAGGTAATTCTCACAATATTTCAAACTTTTTCATTATCATTGTATTTGTTATATTTGTCATGGTGATCTGTGATCAGAGCTTACAACTGCCTGAAAGCTCAGATGATAGATAGCATTTTTTAGCAATAAAGTATTTTTAATTAAGGTAAGTCCATCATTTTTTTAGACATAATGCTATTGCACACTTAATAGACTATAGTATACATAAACAGAACTTTAATATGCGCTGGGAAGTTCACTTGGCTTGCTTTATTGTGAAGTTCACCTTACTGCAGTTGTCTAGAACTGAACCCACAGTATCTGAGATATTTGCATGCGGTGTGGCATGAACTCCTCCAGCAACCCTGGGAAGTATGTAATAGGTAAGACACTCCCCAGGACTCCCCGAATTTATTCTGCTCCCCAAACAGACATACATCTCCATTCCCTGCTCGAGGCCCAGGGACTGACCTCCGATCTTGGCCCTTCCAAACAGAGATGGTCATTTTCACCCCCCTCCACCTCTCTCCCCACCTTTCAGCCTTGCCTCCTTTCCTGTCTCCACTTGCTCAGGAGGACTGGGGAGCAGAGACTGCAGATGCCAGCCCCGCCCCCCAGCCCAGCCTGGAGCTCCTCACCAGCCTGCAGGAATATGGGGAAGGGGGAATAGGGTCTCACCAGGCACTTGTGGGGCCGCTCCCCCGTATGCACCAGATGGTGCTTCTGCAGGTGGGCGAGTTGGGTGAAGCTCTTCTGGCACAGGGCACACTGGAATGGGCGCTCCCCACTGTGCACACGCAGATGGACCTGAACCAGGTGTGGGAGAGATGCTGCCAACTGCCCAGTCCCTCAGCAGGGCCTGGATCCTCTGTGAGCCTCTACCCACATCCCCACAGGACTCCTTTTTGACATCAAGGCCTCCCAGTCCCCTTGCCTCTCAAACACCCCCTCAGGGCCTCTTTTTCATTCCTAGGGTACTCCCATTCATTCTGCTGCCCTGAGGGAGGCAAGATGGCAGTGGTCAGAAGGCCAGGTCAGAGATACCCCCTGTATAGATACCCTGAGCAGTGCTACTCAAAGCATGGGTCACAGACCAGCAGCAGCCGTACCACCTGGGAGCATATTAAAACACAGATTCTCAGATCCTACCCCAAACCAACTGAACCAAAATCTCTGGGGTGGGAGCCTAGCAATCTGCATGTTTAGTAGCCCTCCAGGTGGTTTCAGCCTTATTAGAGCTTAACAACTCATCCCTAGCAGATCCAGAAGGGCTGTTTCCCAATAACTGTAACTTCCTCCACTTGAGTGAGTGCCAACTTGTGCATAGCTTCCTGTCCAAGATGAGCCCTTGGTCTCCCCCTGCTGGAAAATGTGGTTTAGACTCAGTAAAACCTACCCATTCCCCCACCTGACCTTCACGTGGAGGCTTAACTGGGAATCCAGTCAGGATGGTTGTTCAGCAAAGGGCCTTTCACTAAATGTTGAGACACTGAGATCAAGACTTAACGCCACTGTTAAATAAGTCTCGGGCAAACACTTCCCATTAGGAGCCTCAGTTCCCCATTTTTAATTTAAATGAGATGACCCTATAGCCAGTCTTTTAGGGCAGAGAGGACTTTGGCAGCTATCTTAACCTAGCTCTCCTCTTTACAGAAGTGAAACTGAAGAGCCAAGTGAACCATTCAAGGCCACAACGTAGAGGCTGCCCAGGAGTTCCTTCTTGCTTTAATGCCCTTGCTTCTAGAAGCAGGATGGAAGGGGGATTGAGGATGCCAAGGGGAGCAGGGGAGCCTGGGAGGCAGATACCTTGAGGTTGGAGAGCTGTCCAAAGCTCTTGCCACACACGTTGCATTGGTACAGGATTTTGCCATTCTCTTTCTTCAGAGGGTAAGGCAGTGCTGCAGTGCCCACCCGGGAGCCCAGTGGGACCTGCTGGGCTGGAGCTGCCCTGACGGCTCTCTCCAGCCCTGGAGCTCCAGGGCCTGGATTCTGGGCCTGAGACAGTCGAGTTTGGGCAGAGGCTTGGGAGGCCCTTGGGTAGGGACTCAGGGTCTCCCCCTGGGCACTGTGGTGCCCAGGCTCTTTGAAACTCATCAGCAAGTTAGGCACAGCTATGGTGGGGTAAGAGGTGCCTGGCGGCAGCATGAAAAAGGAAAAACATTGAACAGAAGGTAGGGCCCCACAGATGAATGCACAAGGTGGAGGCAAGAGAAGTGGGTACCCAGGAAAGAAAGGTTGGAGGTGGAACGGGGGCTCTTTGGACATGGGAGCAAGTAGGGGGCAGCAGCAGAAAGCTAAGGGGCCGGCGTTCTTTCTGTTCTCCCAGGGGGCTGGAGAAGAGCTGTTGTGAGGAGAGAAGGATGGGCAGGTGTCCCCCTCGCCAGCTCTTTCTGGATGGCTTCCCATCTTGTCCCCGTTCCAAGGGTATTTGGTTGTGACCACCGTGTCACTGGTAGAGCCGGCATGTGGCCTTGGTGCCTGGTGCTCTGAGCAGGAAGGGGAAGATAGTCAGGGCCCCACAGCCTGGGGTGAAGTTCTGTTCCCCATCTAACCTGCCCTGCTCAGCCCTGGGAGAGAACTCTAGCTTGCAGGCCTGTTGGGCAAGGTATTTCCCTTCTCTGGACCTTCCTGGTCTGTAGTCGCACTTGCTAATCACAGTGGCTTGTACTTGTGCAGTGCTTAACAATGTTAGGCAGAGACAATGATTCAGAAGCTAGCAGACATCTGGGAAGAGAAGTCAGGTGGACAGTTGGATGAATTGGTTTGGAGTTTAAAGGAAAGGTCTGAGCTGGATACATAAATTTGGGTGCCAGAGGCCTAGATGAGATCCCATAAGGGTGATGCTAGATCAGTTGTGTCCAAAATGGTAACCACTTCAGACATATGTGACTACATTTAGATTAATGAAAATAAGTACAAGAAAAAATTCAGTTTCTCAGTCACAGTAGCCACATTAAGAAAGGTCAATGGGTATGGTATTAGCACAAGTATAGGACATTTCCATTATTGCAGGAATTTCTATCAAACAGTGCTACTCTAGATAAAGAGAACAGGAGGGGAGGGGAGGGAAAGAGAGAGGAGAGAGGAGAACAGGGGAGGGGAAAAAAGGGAGGGAGGGGAAGGGAGAAGGGAGGAGGAGGGGAGGAGAGGCAGGTAGGGGAAAGGAAGGGAATGGGGAAGGGAGAAGGAGGGGAGGGATGGGAAGAAGGTCTGGGCTGAGTTCTGGAGCACGGGAATATTTAGGAGGTGAGCAGAGAAGTCTCCCTTCCAATGGAGACTGGGATGCAACAGCCAGTCAGGTAGGAATTAAGCTAGGAATAATATAAAATAAAACACTAAAAAGAAAAAACTATTAAAAGGTAGATTGTTCAGATCCTCATCTATTCACCTAACCAACTTTACTGAGCTATTTCACTCTGTGCTCTGTCCTGGGGAAATAAAGGACCCAGCAGCATAGTCCCTGCCCTTCAGGAGGTCACAGCTGCATAATGGAACAGTGTATTACATGCAAAACACCTGGAACACAGGTATAGTGAGATTCTACTTTCATGGAAGAAGAAACTGCCCTCAGTGATGTGCCCAAGGTCACAGATCCAGAAAGGGCAGAAGCCACAACTCCATGACTCCCATAATCAGTCCTCCTGTCTGCACAAACACGCTGGGCAAAGTGCCGTTCTCAACCCCCAGGACTTTGGTTACACCTATGCCAGCTCCCATACCCATGCCTGAGAAAGCCACTGCCCACCTCCTCTGACTCAGGTGTCACCACCTGGAAATCCCCCTGCACCCCCAGGCCAGAACTCCAGGCCAAAATGTGGGAGTTCAGTGTGCCTGAGGCTCTGTCCTCACCAGGGACACTGGGCCCCCACCCCCTCCCATCCCGAAACCTAATGGTGCCTCTACCTCCCGCCTCCACGGAGGTGCAGCCCCGCACCATGGCCTTACTCATGCTCAGGACGTCCTCTCTGAGACTCTTCAGGTCTGTGCCCACGGATGCCTGCTGCAGAGCACACAGGTATGGGTCCAGGCCCTGGGGGCAGGCCATGAGGGCAGACCTGGCCAGTGCCAGTGGCATGGAGTACAACCAGCTGGCACAGAATGGGCCATGGGCATCCACTCTGTCTGGAAGTGGCCTGCAAACTGGGAAGACCTAGAAGGCAGGGGGCAAAGGGGCTTGGGGGGTGGGGGCTGGGACTCCTGGCCCCACTCCTAGTTTGATTTCCGTGGAAGAAGAGGAAGCTAAGACCCACCCCACCATGTCTGTCACTCAGATGGCTTCCCCTTCTCTCATCCAAAAATTTCTTTCCCTAGAGACTTTCACCCCCACCCCCAAATTGCCCTCCTCTGCCCCCTAGAGCCCCTTATATGCCCCTTTCTCCTCCCCAGCCTCCCTCATCACCCTGGTCCTACCATGTCTCAGAACATCAGCTGTTTTCAATGGAGCCAAGGTGAACTCAGAAGAAATCCTCGTCAAAGATTAGATCTCCCAGGATGGGCCTGACCCCCTCCCACTAAAGCCCAGGCCATTGTCATACAGCCAAGCTTCCTGCATGGCCCTGTCCCTTCTCAGCCCCACAGAGAGTCTGACTTCTGGGGACCAGGACAGGGGCTTTGGCACCTCAAAGGTACATCCCCATGATGTGCTGGCGTAGGAGTTCTCAGGGCCAGGAGATGATGGGAATCTAGGTCTCTTCAGATTTTCCCCACCTCTTCCCGATGTCCCCTCCATCCCTAAGCAGGCTAGCCTCAGAAACAAGTCTGGAGCCCCACCTTACCTGATCACCTGGGCAGAGTTGGCAGTCCAGGCTGGAGGATAGGGAGCCCCCTGTGCCCCCCAGGGATTGGTCTGTGGCAACACCCCAATTCTGGAGCCAGTCCCCCTTTTGTGCACCCACTACCTACTGGAAGACAGGTAAGTCACAGGTGAGCAGTGGAGGACCTCCAAATAGCAGCCTGGCTTTTGGGCTGGTTCTCCCTCTAAACCACTGTGTGACCTTGAGCCTGGCACTGTCGCTCCTGGCCTCAGTTTCCCTATCTGAAAAATGGGAGAATTGGGCTGGCTGATGTGTAAAGACTCTCTTCATGCTGACATTTAGAAGCCGATGGTGCTCTCCTGGTAGGTGCAGGAAAAAGAGACTAGCCAATCAGAGAGGAGGAGCAGAGCCAGCCTAAGCCCCTCCCTGGGGAGGAGAGGAGACAGGAAGGTCCTCATAGAGGTTACTTCCAAGTGAGCTAGCTCAGGGATCTGAGGGAACACTCCAGACTTCCTCAGGACCACAGGGAACTCTCTGGGAAGGACTCACAGCTCACCATTCTACCCCCCACAGACTCCCCCACAGCCTGCCCTGCCCCCTAGCTCACCCACACAGCTCTTCCAGTGGTGGAGGAAGCCCCTGTGCCCCATCACCTGGACTGCCCAGGCTCAGCTCCCCCGCCAGGACCATCTAAGAGAGTAGCCAAGAGCCCCTTTGTTCCCTGGTTAGACTGACAGGGGGTGCCCTGAGCACTCCGCTGCCCACTCAGCACCCGGCTCCTCTGCCACCTTTCACTGAAACCACTCAGCACAGGGACCACTGCGGCTTGCCAGGTGCCCTGAGAGTCCTTCCCCTGCCCCTCAGAAGCCACCCTTCCCTCCCTAACCCTGAGTCCCTCAGGCCCTCGCCCTCCCTCCAACTTCTCAGCCCTCTCAAACCCTGTCTCCTTTCCTTCTTTCCTGACTACCCTAACCCTACCCCAGATCTCAAAGAAGATACCCTAAAAGACGAGACCCCCTCATGAGGCTCTTCACCTGGCTCTGCAGAAGTCCGCTTTGGTGGGGAAGGAAGGAGGTGGGCAGGCGAGTAGCTGCCTGTGGCCAAGGCCCCACTGGGTGTGAGAGGTGGCAGAAAGTGCTACATCTGAAGTTGTCACAAGTAGGAAGAAGGGGGCAGGCAGGCTGGGGGCCCTGTGAGATCTAACAAGGGGGAACCACCCACCAGCCTTACCTGCCTGTGACAACCCTATAGGACAGTGTGCTGATTTTTGGGCCACTGTGAACTAGGGCGACTGGGTTCAGTATGTGTGTGCGGGGGGCTGATGGAAGCTGGGGTGGAGTTGCCTCCTGGTTCTTAGAGAACCCAGATGCCGAGCAGGAGAGGGACAGAGCAGAGGATGAGGTCCTTCTGCAGATGGGGGCCCAGATGAGATGGATGGGCAGTGATGATGACAGGGAAGACAGTAGTAGTGATGGCAGAAGGGACAGGAATAGGTGGCGACAAGAGCAGGCAACATGGAAGGACACCTTTGGAAGGGGTGAGACAGAGGCAAGAGCAGGAATCTGATTGCAGAGAGCACTGGCCCAGGAGGCAGCAAATAAGTCTCCCTCCTTGTCCCATCTCTGTTCTCCCTTTCCTGAGGAACCCTTTCTCTGATCCAGGGAGAGTGCTGAGGCCCCAGCAGGACAAGAGATAATTCAAGGACACAGCAAAATGCTTGTAAGGAATACTAGGTATCAAAAAGGGAGGCCCGTCATCCAGGAAGCAGCTTTTTAGACCAAGCAATTGCATTTTCCTGTAAGCAGAAGGTGCATCACTCCTGGGGCCTCACGCAGATTCTGCCCAGGTGGTGGGTTTGGGTCACACAGTGTCTGGCCCAGAGTGACACAGCCCCAGGCAGGCATCTGAATCCATGCCAGCCTGGCGGCCTAGAACACAAGGACATCTCAAACTCTCCACCACGGCCAGGGGCACTGTGTTGGTGTTTGTCCGGCAGCTCAGCCTCTGGCTGGTACTCACCTTCTCCACGGCCTCCGTCACTTCCTATCATAGTTATTTGCCCACATATCTGACCCATACATGTCTGTGATCGTCTCAAGGGAAGGAACACTGTCACCTCATTTTTGTTTCCCATGTAGACATTTGTCAGGTTTTTTGGATGCCCAGCAGCTGGGACTTTTCCCCACGTGAGTCTAGAGGGAGACAGAAGGCAGAACTTAGACCCAGATAGAGACCCAGGCTAAGGCAAGTTCTCGGTGACTAGAGGGGGGTTGGGACATCCTTGTGGAGGGGAAGTAGGGCTGAGGGATGCTCAGGGATGAGTGGGGAACACTAAGGAGGCCTCTGAAAAGAAACAGCATTTGAGGAGGGGACAAGGCCTGGAGAGTGATACAGGCTCCTCAGGCTCCTGGCTCACTGCACACTTACTATTTACTTCCTTCTTTCTGTTAATTACAAAATAATACATACTAGTGGTAAACATTTCAAACAACAGAGAATATAAAGACACAAAAGGAAGCTCCCTCCTTCCCAGTTTCCAGTGATCAATGTGAATTGTTTGGTGTTTATCCTTCCAGACTTTTATCTATGAATCTACAAACAGTTAAATGGAATTTTTGATGATGTTTTTGTACAAAAATGAAGTATATGATATACACTTTTCTGAAGCTTTTTCTATCCAACAATCCACTATGGTCATCATTTCATGCCAGAACACACACATTTGTTACCTGCTTTTTCCTGACTGTAGAGTATTCCACAGCAGGGATGGACATACTATATAGAATTCCTTGATTGGTGGACTCCAGTTTTTCCCTGTTCCATGCAAGACTGGAAAGGACCTCCATACAGAGGTAATATGCAGAGTGGTTAAGAATATTAGCTCTGCTGGATTTGATCCTAGCTCTGTGACCTTATGGCAAATCACTTAACCTCTCTGTGCCTCTTTCCTCAGCTGTCAAGTGGGGATAATAATAGTACAGTACTTGCCTTGCCTCTGAGAGTTCTTTTGAGGATTCCTCAAGGTAATTCATGCAAAGCCCTTAGAATGGTGTCTGGCCCAAAGCAAGCACTTGACAAATGTGGGTTACTGTTAATATCATACATCAGTCTTTGCCTAGTTGGGCAAATATCTGCAAGTCAGCTTCCTAAAAGTATTAAAATTGTGATGGATGTTCCTGGCTCACTTTGGAAGATCAGAATTTGGGCAGCACACTTGAAGAAATAAGCTACATTCAGTTTTATTGCTTTATTCATTAACTTCTGTTTGGAGACTCCTGATCCCATCCAAAGCATCTGAGCCTTCAGCATGTGCCAGGAACCCTGCAAAGCACTTTGACATGCTTTGTTTAACTCAAGCAGCACAATGAATTCCGCTATTCCTGTTTCACAGGCAAAAAAACTGAGATTCAGAGAAGGAAAGCAACTGGATCAAGATCACATAATGCAAATTGGGGCTGCAACATCCTAAAGCGGAAGGAGAGCTCAGGGAAGAATCCTGGCATGACATCTATGAATGGGTAAAAAGGATCACAATGTAGTACAGTAGAGTCTGGGTTCCCTTCAGGGGCCAAAGGATTTCCAGAAAAATCAAGATGGGCAGAGCTGTGGAATTAGCATCTGGCCCCCTGCAAGCATCCCAAAAGAGTCTGTCATTCATTCACTCACTCGCTCATTCATTCACATATTTAATGATCACCAACTATGTATCAGGCATTGGACTAGTTGCTGGGAATATAGCCCATAGGAACACGATGCAGACCTTGGAATTTACAGTCCAGTTATCAGAAGACTTGCTGGATGTTGCCAAAATAGAAAGTGGTGTGCAACTATTGAAGCTTATTATTATCAGGATGGAGGTTTGGAAAGAAAAGTAGAGCCAGGGGGATCAGGCTGGCTTGTGCAGTAACAAAGAACAATGGAACCATGGGCAGAAGCCCTACTTTCTCTTTGAAGACCTCAAAAACTTCTCCAATCCATAACCACTGTCACCTCCAACCTGAGGCCAGCCAGCTTAGAGCAGGGATCCTGGAGTTCTGTTGCATGATTCCTTTTGAAGGGCATCAAGTAAGGAGTCTGGGTCAGGGGGCTGTCTGGGGCCATCATTGGTTCAAAGGGTGAAGCAGTTATGAGGGATGTGACTCCAAGTACAGGGTTGAGTGTGGGGAGCTCAGCCCAGTCTGCCATGCTCTTGCCTTACTCCATTCCGTGGTTAACACCTCCTTCCCTCTGCCTGATACGCACTTTTCTCATCTCTTCAGACAGCCCAGTTGACAGTCTGTCAGACGCAATGAGTTGGCCTTTGGCTTCACACCCTAGGGTGGGGAGATCCTGAGATAGGGTGTGCCAGCTCTCACATTTGCAGAAGGGGCCTTGAGACTCTTGCGTCTTCCCCTACACCCACCTGTGACCTTCCACTCCCTCCTGCAGATGGGTCTTCAAATGACATCTGAGGTCATCCCGTCCCATTCTCCTCTCATCCTCCATTCCAAGGCGATAGGAAACAAAGAGATCACACAGGTGGAATCTAAATCCAGTAAAGTTAATATACTCTTAACCACAATGCAACACCGCGTAGTGGACATAGGTGTCCTTTCCAGCCTGTGTGAAACAGGGAACAACTGAAGTCCACCTATATGTCCACTATTATTGGAATGCTACCTACTGTGTACATCCATGTAACAGAAATTCTAGGCAGCCAGGACAAAGCAAGGTTAAATTTATCAAGTGCTTCCCATATGCCAAACTTCTTTATTTCATCTTCCTCATCTCATTTCATCTTCCTCAAAACCTTCCAAAGACATATTAATGTCCCATCTTACATATAAGCAAAGACTCAGCAAAGGCAAACCAGGTAGCATCAACTTAAATGCCTACAGTGGCCATGCAGCTAACATAGAGTGCTCCAGGAAGACGTCTAATACTTCACTCAGCCATGGTGTCAGGATCAACAGGGACAGGTGGGAACTGAGGCAAACCATAGAACATGGGCCATTCGCCATGACTCAGCAAAATAAGGAGCCAGTGTTGCCAGTTCTGACTTTCCCAGAGAATCTGAAAACCAGGATTTTTCTGTGCAATCTCTAGATTTTTTAAAAAGTTGGTTCAAATATTTAAAAATAACGTTCACCCCAATCAAGACAGACCTGTGTGGCAGGTTCAACTGCCTCTGCCCAAGATCACAGAGCCCTAGTCCCTTCCATGTTTCTAGCTGTCCTAGAACATGTTTCTAGTTATAATAGCTAAAGAGTGGAAACAACCCAAATGTCCATCAATTGATGAATGGATAAGCAAATGTGATACATTCATACTATGATATATTCTTCACTCACAAAAGGAAATAAGGTACTGATATACCCTATATTATGAACATTGAAAACATGTTAAATGAAAGAAGCCAGTCACAAGGTGGCATATTGTATGATTCCATCGACATGAAATGTCCAGAATTGCAAATCTATGGATACAGAAAGTAGATTATGGTTGCTTAGGGATGGGGGTTCTTGTGGAGAAATAGTGAGTGTCTGCTTTTAGTATGATGAAGATGCTCTAAAGTAGATC